TTAACCTAACCATCTGAATCAACGACGTAACTCTAAACACCTGCAAATGATTCCTGAGGCTTTTAAAAACTCCCAGCCTTGTTCATTACTCAAAACCACAATCATGGGTAAGACTGCCGACCTGACTGCTGTCCAGAAGGCCATCATTGACACCCTCAAGCAAGAGGGTAAGACACAGAAAGAAATTGCCGAATGAATAGGCTGTTCCCAGAGTGCTGTATCAAGGCACCTCAGTGGGAAGTCTGTGGGAAGGGAAAAGTGTGGCAGAAAACGCTGCACAACGAGAAGAGGTGACCGGACCCTGAGGAGGATTGTGGAGAAGGGCCGATTCCAGACCTTGGGGGACCTGCGGAAGCAGTGGACTGAGTCTGGAGTAGAAACATCCAGAGCCACCGTGCACAGGCGTGTGCAGGAAATGGGCTACAGGTGCCGCATTCCCCAGGTCAAGCCACTTTTGAACCAGAAACAGCGGCAGAAGCGCCTGACCTGAGCTACAGAGAAGCAGCACTGGACTGCTGCTCAGTGGTCCAAAGTACTTTTTTCGGATTAAAGCAAATTTTGCATGTCATTCGGAAATCAAGGTGCCAGAGTCTGGAGGAAGACTGGGGAGAAGGAAATGCCGAAGTGTCAGAAGTCCAGTGTGAAGCACCCACAGTCTGTGATGGTCTGGGGTGCCATGTCAGCTGCTGGTGTTGGTCCACTGTGTTTTATCAAGGGCAGGGTCAATGCAGCTAGCTATCAGGAGATTTTGGAGCACTTCATGCTTCCATCTGCTGAAAAGCTTTATGGAGATGAAGATTTATGTGGAAGTTTCTGGAAAGTTCTGAATTACATCAAGTGGATGCTTTATCAAGAAACTATCTGTACAAGCTAAATCTTCTGAAATGTTCTGACCGTCATCCTGATAAAATGTTTGTACATGTAAACCTGACCTGTTTTCATGACCCATTTTGACATAATAAAATACAGACTCACCCAGCAAACGGGAGAGTTCACTCTGACCTAGTCGGTGACTCTCACCTTTGATCAAAGGGGACTGAGCGCTAAAAAAACCACCTCTCTGTTGTGTGAAGTTAATTATCTTTAAAGGTTAAACAGAAAATACCTATTATATCTAAGTTTTAGATACATAAATTTAAGACTTTTTAAGGATGTGCAGACACCCTGAAATACAACACCAAACCCAGGCTCGAATTTTTTTTGTGTGAGGTGAATTAGAAATTAAGACGCATCACTACAGCAAACCTTAGAGACGTTTAGACTTCAGTTTAAACACCCTTCAGTACAGAACCTACCATCTCCCAGAGCCAGCACGGCCTCCTCCGTGCCCAGGTTCCTCAGGGCAAACATGGCACGGTAACGTTCAAACAGTGGCAGACTTTCATCCAGCAGAGCTAAGCGCAGCTCTGGTACAGTCCTCCTTGGGGCTGGAGGGGCCGGGTCTACAGAACAGTAGGGGTTTTTATCCGTCTTGCCATCCTCCAGCTCAGACTTTCCATCGCTCTGTAACCACTCGAGCCGACAAACAGCCAGCTGACATGTCTCTGCAACCTGTGAACAAAAACATGTGACCTCCTCAGACATGAGTTTATTAAGATCCTGTCCAACATGGGGGCTTCAAACCCTAATGTATGGGGCTCATACCTCTATGAAAGGATCATGGCAGTACTCTTTCAGTAGATTCAGAACCACCAAGTCACCAATCGCTCCCAAAGCCTCTCCTATAAACACAGAAAGACAAACAGAGCAGCACAGGTAAAAACTGTCCACCTAAATAAAGATGAATGCAACAACTCTCACAAAACGTTTCAAACAGGATCTAGAAAAGAATGAACTTAGACAGAGCTGTTGCAAAACACAAAGACCTGGAAGAAGATGGAGACAAATCAGGACAGAGATTTTGAAAAGCGTTCCTGAAAAACAATGTTAACAGCATGAGCATGCATCAGGAAATGTTAATGTTGGTTACGTACTGTAACCCCAGATTCTGAGTATAAGCGTAGCCCTTTAAGGCTGTCGCTGATGGTTTATCCCGTTATGCGGAGCATTACACTGAAAAAAATTTAGTCCACGCCCACCTGCTGTGTGGGCCCCAGCCAGTCTGTATAAATTACGTTAAGAGCGGGTAATCGGCTCCCAAATAACTTTTCTTCAGCCATTTAGGAGCCAGTGAGGCCCGACGCTTAAAGGGCTACGCTTATACTCATAGAATCTGGGGTTACAGTACGTAACCAACGTTTTATTTCGTATAAGCTTCGCCCTTTAAGGCTGTCGCTGATGGTTTAAGGGCGAAGCAGATGTGGTCCTCGCCTCACTGGGTCCATTCGAACACCGTATGAAGCAGAAGCTTGCCCAAAAAACGTCTTGTCACTCAGCTCCCCATGTGCGTAATTACGCATTGCGTAATAATGTGTGCCAGGCACAGACGCATGTTGTGTAACTATGCGTTCTGAATGCATGAACGCCCCGGAAAATTCAACAGGGAGGGAAAAATGCTGAAAAGAACCATGAACCAACCGGTTACGGCTGAACAGTATGAACAGATTAATAACAACAGGAGAGCTGATTATTAATCAAATGAACTGATTGGTAACAATAGTCATGAACTGATTAGTGACAATAGAACCAAAATAACAATCACAACTTGTGACTGATAACATCTCACACTGTAATGCATGCAGACAGGTGTGAGTTAAACGGAGTTCCATGAAACAATAATATTCATTCTGTAAAACCCTAAGAACAGAATGTGTCATGGAACGGGCCGTCACATCACGTAGATAAAAGTGAATAAATGAGCAGGGTGTTGACCACGCGGCCGCAGTGCAAATATCCTGCATTGTCATACCATTATGAAAAGCAGTCGAAGACACAACACCCCTGATCGAGTGTGCTCTGAGGTTGACAGGAGGCTCTAAATCTGATGCTCTGTAGGCTTCAGAAAAGGCCTCACACAGCCAGAGTGTGACAGGCGCTGGGTGGATAATGGGCGACCTGCAGGTGCATCTCTATAATGCACAAACAAATGTTGAGTTTGACGCATTGCAGCTGTGCGTGTTATGTAACACGTCAACGCCCGCACCGGACAGAGAAGATGGAAAAAAAAGCTTCTTCTTCCGATTTGTGGGGGGAAGGGGAAACCCCTCCAACGATATCACCCTTGATTTAAAAGAGCTCGTGATGTTTTAGCCATAAAAGCTGGGTTTGGTCTAAAATCAGCTGAGCTGCCGTCAGCCTGAATTCTGAGACATGACGGCGAGACAGAGAAGGCAGATAAATCACTCACTCTCTTAGCGGATGTTAAAGCCAGCAGCAGGGCTGTTTTAAGAGACAAGAATTTAATTGGGACCTGATCCAGAGGCTCAAATTGGGCTTTAATCAGGGCTCGCAGGACCAGCGTTAAAACCCACTGTGGACCAAGTGGGTGAAACAGACCTGTGTCTCTGTACACCTTTTAGAAAACGCTTCATCAGCAGATGATTAAAACCTGTTCTGTCTCCGAACCCTTCGTGGCAGGAAGAGATGGCTGCAGCGTACGTTTTAATCGTGCTGGACGCCAAATTTCTGTCCATCAGCTGCTGCAAAAAGGACAGCATGCCACCTAATGGACATGAGATGACCTCTACACCTTTCTCTGTACACCAGCGCTGAAAAACTGTCCACTTTGATGTGTACAGCGCTGTGGTAGACGCAGCACGTGAATCCTGGATTGTGCGCATTACATCCTGTGGGAGACCCATCCTCTCTAAGCAGATCCGCTCAGCGGCCAGACCCAACAGCAGGCGTTGCAGGACTGGGAATCATGGTGCGTTCACGCGCTCGGGGGCCACCAGGAGAGCTGTCAATCCCTCCTCGTGAACTCGGTTCAGGAACCGTAAAATCAGAGGAGGTGGAGGAAACACGTACAGAAGCGTTTTGGGCCGTGGGCTGTGGGCAAACACATCCACACCCAGCGGTGGTTCGTCTCGCGGGCTCAGAGAAAACCATAGTTGACACTGAGCGTTTTCTCGTGTCGCAATCAGGTCCACAGCTGCTTTGCCAAATTTCTGCCACGTCTGAACCATCAGGTCTGGATGGAGAGTCCAGTCCCCATCACGTGGACCGCCCCTGGACATCACATCTGCCCCTTGTTCAGAACACCGGGTATGTAAACTGCTCTGATGGAGAGCAGATTTTGGTGAGCCCAACACAGTAGCTTTCGCGCAATGTGTAACATCTGGGCTGAACGCACACCCCCTTGCCGGTTTATGAAAGCAGCAGTCACCTTGTTGTCTGTGTGAATCAAAACGTGTTGATTCTGCAGCACAGGAGCAAAGTGTTTAATCACGTTCAGCACCGTGTGACACTCCAAAACATTTATGTTGGCAGATGTGTGATGGGGCCACAGCGCCCCTACTGCTTGAGATAGGCATGTCCCCCCCCCCAGCTTGACAGCGACGTGTCCGTGAAGACTGGCACGTGTGACGTGGGTCTGCTGACGGGGGCTCCCTCCGTCAGAACCAGGGTGTTTCCCCAGTGTTGGTGGTCTGCTCTCACGGAGGGAGGAACAGTGATCATCCGTCTCTTTTGTTTTTCTGGATCCACACGCAGATGCGCAAACCACCTCTGGAGGCGTCTCGTGTAATAAACCCAGTGGGGCAACTGTGTGAGCTGATGACATCATTCCTAACAGCTTCATGATGGAAAACAGCTGTTACCACTCTGCCAGGTCTTACGTGACGGAGCTGGTCTTTTAAAGTGTTGATTCTCGTTTGTGATAAACGAGCCCTCATGGTGGTTGAGTTAGCTCCACTCCCAGATAAACAATTGTCTGGGCCAGGAAAATTGAGCTTTTCTTCCAATTTATGGTGAAGCCCAGATTTAACAGGTGTGATGTCAACACCTGAGCCTGCATCACTACTTCCCGTCTGGAGCATGACAGCAGCAGCAGGTCATCCAGGTAAAACAAAACTCTCATCCCTGCTCTGTGTAACGGATGCAGGGCTGTCTACACAGACTTTGAGAACGTACGAGGCGCGAGAGGATAACCGAACGGCAGCCTGTTGTACTGATACTTCATCCCTTGAAAAGAGAAATGCAGGAATTTTCTGTGTTTTGGGATGATCGGTATGTGAAAATAAGCATCTTTCAGGTCGATGGAAAACAAATCAGTTGTTTCTCTGGATGTTGTCCAACAGCTGTCTGGTTGTCAACATGTGAAACGGTTTGTCCATGATCAACTTGTTGAAAGCTGACAGATCCAAAATCGGTCTCATCCCTCTGGTCCGTTTGGGAACCAGGAAGTAACGTGAGTAAAACCCTGTGTTTTTCTCTCCGTTGGGAACTCTGGAGATTACTTCTTTTATCAGAAGCTCTTGGACTTCTGCATTTAGGGATGAGATTTGGTCTGGTGATGACAGGACCGTCTCTAAAATTCTTCCGAACGGAGGGGGTCGGGTTGCAAATTGCAACGTGTAACCTTTGCATAACACCCTGGCCATCCATCTGTCTGGCGAGCATGTTTTTAGTCACTCCACGTAACGTTCATGGAGTGGACATGCGTTTAAGTGATGCGTCATGTTTTGTATGGATGTCATCCAGTCCACCGCCTCGACCGCCGTCATGTCGCGGGAATGTTTTCCGCGTGACCCAAGGCGAGGCTTCCTCGAAAGGGCTCTGAATGCGCCCGTGCGCTGCGTTCGGACCGCGGACCAACCTTCATGCCTAGGTGGGCCGGTGTGTGCTGAGGCGAAGCGTGGCAGCTGATGACGCCGTGGGGCTGCGCGTTTGACGCCACTGCGGTGAAAACACGTGTCGCTCCTGCCGCGTGCGGTGTCCTGCGCTGGGTTCGCTTTGAGATCTCGCATCTATGCCGCCATGAGCGGGCGAGCGCTGCGAAGCTGTGAGTGCGACTTCATCTACGCCGTGCCGTTTGAGTGAAGACTGCAAGCCCCGCGGGAGCACACGTTTTCTCTGGTGGGACGCGCGCCGCTCTCGCTGGAAGCGAGACTCGTCACTGGGTTCGCTCAGCTGTCTCAAGCTTATGCTGCCGTGAGCGGCCGAGCGCTGAGACACGGTGGATGAAGGCTGCCTGCGCTGCGGCGGCACGCGTTTGCTTCGATGCAGCGTGTGTCGCTCTCACTGAGAGCGAAGGTCCTCTACCGACCCGCGGTCCCACATTTATGCCGATGTGGGCCGGTGAACGCCGGGGAGCTGTGTGTGCACCATCATCAACGCAACGCCGTTTGGTTGAAGGCTGTTTGCGTCGCGTGAGTGCACATTTGACACCGCTTGGGTGAGGATCGAGCAGCTCAGGTTGACAACGAGTTATTTTGCTTACCATTGTGAGGTGTGAGCGTCTCATCATGTCTTGGAGCAATGGTGAGTTTAAAAAGCCCTTATTAAAGACACCGTCTCATTATGTGTGGAGGGTGTGTGCGCAGCCACAGTGAGTCCATCCGAGCTTACAGACTGGCTAGAAACAGACACTTGATCATTGAATGATGTTTTATTCAACATTTGTGTCATATTTACACACACCCTATGCAGACCATCATTCTGAATCTTTTCCCCCATGAGCTCTGGGATTCGTTGGCCCAGGGCGCCGTCTGCTGGGGGTCTCTGGGAAAAACGTTGGACACTCTGTTGCCGGGATGAAGAGGGCCGGACGGGCTGAAGCTCAGCGAGAGGGCCGTGGAACCGTCTTGCCACCGGCTCATTTCATGTGGAGGGTGTGAGAGAG